TGAATCATAAACTGGATATTATTGGAGGGAGAGTGGGTGAAATTGTTAATTAACTTAGTACTCTATTCACCCATATTTCTACATTGTTGTAAATAGTGCATTGCCATACCCTCATTGACATTCGTGACCTACTCCAAATGATTTGACCTCAACTAAATGACTATGAAACACAATTCTGAAAGTTTGAAAAACTATCAACTCTGTGATGTATGTTTTGGGAGTAGATGGAGGGGTTATTGCATCTTTAACAATGTATGAAAGAGAAAATTTCCCCGTTTAAATATCGAGGCTATACTGTTTTGCTCACAACTGCAGATCAAATTTCTATTTCATGGTTATCAAACTGAAGAGGCAAGTCAAATTCAATTTGAAAATTATAAAGAAAAATCGCAATGAAAAATGGTCATGGAATCGATATTTCCTCAAATTTTAATATTTATACCCAAAATAATTATACTCTTCCAAAATGGTGGAATATAAACAAAATAAATAAGAAAATAAAAAAAAGCCTCTTCGGGTTTTTTGAATAAAAATATAATATGAAATCTATTATTAGAGGTTGAAATTTTTGGGTGGCAAAACTGAAAACTATTTCGTTGCTGTCTTTTCATGTGGTCGCATGTACTGGCAGGCATACATATGTATAATACATATATTTATATACATACATCTGTATAAATAGATCCATAGCATATATTTCATAAAAGATTACAAGTCTATGTTTCTTTTTTAGTTGTTGACATTTTCTTTTTGTTTTAAAATAAATATACCAAAAAAAACTTAGTTTCACAATTAAAATGTATTCTCTTCGAAATGTATATTTATTTGTGGTAAATTTAAATAATATACATTTATTTCATTTTGTTTTTTTGCCATGTCTTCTTCCTCCTTGCCTTTGCGTTGGAATGTTGTTAATTATTTATTTTTGTTTTTGTATTTCTTTCCTTTAACAATTCAAATTGTTTGCTATTAATTCGTATTAAATTATTCCAATATCACGTTTTCACACATTGCTCGGCATTTTGTAAAGTGTCAATTGTGTTAATTAAATGAAGGCTATTGTCTTGCTTTCAAATACTCCGCTTAACCCTTTTCGTAGGGCATTAATGAACAAGGAAATAGAGTGTTATGAGTCAGACACACCCTCTTTGGCTGTCAAAATATATTCTAATGCAATTTTAGATTTCTACACCTCAAAAGTCTGAACCTAAAGGGTTAATGTTAGTATAATATAGTTAATAAATAATCGAAGTGTCTCATGTAGTTTGTAAAAAGTATGTAAATATTGATTAAAATGTTTTAATTTGTATTAATTATTATAATTAATTTGTTCATTTTATTTAAGCAAGTGTATGGGGTAATAACAGTAAGTGATAGTGTTTCACAAAATATTCTTTAAAAAATACAGGGTGAGATGAATAAACTGCAACCAACTTCAGACTGCTGTCATATCCAAGCCACTCGTCCGACAGCTGTTAAAATTATCCCAATGACAGCTGATTACACTGTTTACAAGCGTATAAAAGCATTTTCGTGAGAATTTTCCAGAAAAAAAGTTATTTGTGATGGAATTCAAGTGTGATAGTGTGATTTCTTTATTTTTGGGTGGAAAACCATAAGTGCCTATCGTCAGAGCACTCAAGCATTTAAATGTGAATAAATCTTTTGCGTCTCGTACCATCGCTCGTTACCGTGATACTGGCAGCGTAGCCCGGCGTCAAGAAGTGGACGGAAGAAAACAGCAACATCAGCAGAAATGGTTCGAAAAGTAAAGAAGCGACTTGATCGAAACCCGCGTCGCAGTGGCCGAAAAATGGCTCGTGAACTAAACAAATCGCAATATTCCATTCGACAAATATTGAAAAATAATGGCTTCACCCATTAAAAATCCAAAAAGTGCAAGAACTTACACCGCAAGAGAAAGAAAATACGCTCAAAAGAGCTAGAGAGTTGCTTCTCTTGGCTAAAAGTGGTGAAAGGTCGAATTTGGTTTCCTCCGATGAGAAAACATTCGTTGTCCAGCAGTTTGTAAACAAACAAAATTATCGTGTTTACTTGCCAAAGAGATCAGCTGAAAATGTGCACCTTCGGTTGGCTACCAGAACTCAAGCGCCGGCCATGGTGATGTGTGGGCCGCCATAACAGCCGATGGTTGCTCTCTGCTCGTATTAATCGACCGTGGCATCAGAATGAGTGCCGAATAATATCGCGAAAATATTTTGGAGGGTGTATTAAAGCTTTGGACACGCAAACATCTTGGCCGCAGACCTTGGTCATTCAAACAGGACTCAGCAATATCGCACTCAGCACGCGCCACCCATGAATGGTGGCAAAATGAGGTTTCTTGCTTCATTTCTAGCGTATCTCCGGATACTAATCCTTTGGACTATTGTATCTAGAGTATTTTAGAAAGCAAGGTTGGCACTAAAACATACCAACGTGTCGATCACCTCAAGCAAGCGCTTCGCCTGGAATGGGCCAAAATACCGCAGAGGAACATTCGGACAGCGTGTGACGGCCGTTTGGCCGTTTAAAGGCTATAATTCGTGCCAAAGGTGACCAGTTCGAACAAATCTAAACTGATTCTAGAATTTCCGACATTCTTTGCTTTCATTCAATAAAATTAAAAAAAAAATTAAAATTATGGCGTTTGACTTTGTTGCAGTTTTTTATCTCACCCTGTATATATCCTCAGAAGCCATATCACTGAGGGTGTAGAATATTCTCTAAAAGTTCCAGGTAGAGGGTCTGATTCCGTTTAAAAATATTCTTTAAAACTTAAAGATACTTGTTCTAGTAATCCATGAAAAATATCTTTAATATTTTTGAGTAGGTTGTTCTTGCAAAGTATTCTTATAATAAAAAATTAAATTTCAAAAGTTCTGCAATTTTTACAGTATGAAACTTGATCCTTTATTTATTTATTTTATTTATTTATTTTATTTTTATTATTATTATTATTATTATTTTTTTTTTTTTTTTTTGAAAAATTCACCATTTTTGGGCTGATGATTTTTGAAAAAAAAAACGCTCTTGAAATATATATTCTTTAAAAAAAACACGATTTCAGGCTTCATTTTCTTTCAAAAAGATTTTTTGACAAATTTCTCGAATTTCTAACAACATGTGGAAAATATCCTCAAAAAAGTTGTTGATCTTGTTCTTCAAAAATATCCTTTTAAAAAATCCACAATTTTAGATCGAATATTTATTGAAAATCCCACGATTTATAGTCTGGCGGAAGGTATTTGAAAAATATTCTTTAAAAAATGCGATATTTGGTCGGATTGTTTTTGAAAAAAAACTGTTACGGATCTCGAAAAAAAAATCCTTCAAAAATCCACGATTTCTGGTCTGATGGTTCTTACAACACATTCTTTAAAAAAGTTTTCGATTGGCTTTTGATAAAATATTCTATAAAAAATCAGCGTTTAGTTGCCTTGGAGAAAATTTATATTTAATGCCTCTGACTGTACAGAAAAATATAACGGTATGACAAAGTCCAGAAGCGTACTCGGCAAGAGTAGAATCTGCTCGATTTTGAACGACTCTTGCTACCACTGAAAAGCGAGGAAAGTATGCTGGCTCTTATTCGAGCGATAAAGAAAAATTGAATCGACCCGATTTTTTCCTGGTTCCAGGAACTCACACGAATTCGAATGAGTTTCAGTCTTTGTACAAATTTGAGCGAGTTTATCGGTGGTGCACAAAGGCAAAATTACTCTCAAAAGTCGATGTTTAATGGCTTTGGCAATACTTCAAAAAATCCAGCATATTTTATCTGATAGCCCTCTAAACATATTCTTTATGAAATCCACGGTTATGGCTCTGATAGTCCATAAAATATATTCTCTACAAATGCAATACCTATTAAACAAATATTTTTTTTTTAATTTTACGATTAAAATTATTATAGCCCATGAAGAAACAATCTTTAAAAAATCCACGATCATATAAAAAAATATTATTTTTAAATCAACAATTATAGTCCCTAAAAAAATGCATTAAAAAGTCACAATTATATAAAAAAATAATAAATCCAACAGTTTTGGTCTATTGATTTTTGAAAAAAAATATATTAAAAAAGTCCCCGATTATAGTTCTGACGTTTCCTTAAAAAATATTCATTTGACAAATCTATTATATAATATTAATTAATAAATTATAAAATAAAAATATATTTTTTGATATTTTCGGTTTTTTTTAATATAGGTATATTATTTAAAAAATAGTATTTCCAAAAAAAAGACTATTTTTTATTCGTGTTTGTAGCCCTCAAATTTCATACAATTTAAATTTTAACAATCTGATATTTTTTTTATATTTTTTATAATCTACGATTTTCTATAAAACATGACATTTCCCAAAATACTATTTTTTCTTTTAAATCCGTATTTTTTTAAAAAAAAAAAGTCTATTTTTATCCGTGTTTATAGCCCTCACATTTCATACAATTTAAATTTTAACAATCTGATGTTTCGTAAAAATTCATTTTTTATATATTTTTTTTTAATCTACGATTTTCTAAAAAATATGACATTTTTCAAATATACTTTTTTTTCTTTTAAATCCGTATTTATTTTCAAAAAGACTATTTTTATCCGTGTTTATAGCCCTCACATTTCATAAAATTTAAATTTTAACAATCTGATATTTCGTAAAAATTCATTTTTTTATATATTTTTTTTAAATCTACGATTTTCTGAAAAACATGACATTCCCCACATATATTCTATTTTTATTTTAAATTCGTGTTTATATTTTAAAAATCTGATATTTCGTAAAAATTTATATTGTTAATTATATTGTAATTTTTAAATCCGCGATTAGAGCCCTAATAATTTTTCAAAATCTGTAAATTTTCTTAAAACATATTATTTCAAAAATCCACAATTTTAGTAAAATCTAACTTCATCTAAAAAAATCTAATTTTTTTAAAATTCGTTTCAAAAAAGTAAACTCAATTTTTCTAATTTCTTTAAAATAAAATGTACACTTACCTTCTAATTTATGTATCGAATATCACCGGAAGGTACAAAATGCACTTAGAACACAATTCAATTGCAAACACCCCACGCAGATTTGTCTAGGGATAAGAGAACCAGACAAATATCCCCAACACCGACAATTTATTAATTATCAACAATAGTTTACTTTTTTCAATGTCACACAGTTACCGGAAAAAATAAACAAAACACATTTGCAAATGACACGCGCGATATTTTTTGACAGTTCTTTATGTCAATATGAACGCCAACGAAAAGAAAACAACAATCCAGAATACACGCAAGGCAAATAAAAGGAATAAATTCGGTGGGTTCTTTTTTTTTGTAATGTTCTAGGGGACGAGGGAAGACCAAACGGTACCAAACGTTGTTGTTGATAGACGTCAACACGACAAAAACAACAACAGAAGAACAGTTTTACAGCAACAACATCAAATGTAAAAAATTACAACGAAATTCCTTTTTGCCACAAAGGCATTCGCAAGTGAAAATTAAAATTGAAAATTCCCCGAATAAAAACTGTCACTTTCCACTCGATTTTCTTTTGTGTGGTGGATTTTTACACAAATTGTTCTTAACATATGTTTTTTTTGTTGTTTTTTAAGGATTCCGGGGAAAAGTTTTTGTTTTTCAAAAAAATCCCTTATAGCTGGGGGAAGGATCTGTTTTTATTCAAACTTTATTTTTTCACCACAATTTGAATAATTTTTATTTTGAATTTATTTTCCACTTAACTTAACGAAATAAATTACAGAAAAAGAACGAAACGAACGAAAATTCGAAAACTTTTCTGTCAATTTGTTTTCTTTTATTGGGGAATTCTTGTAATTTTTGTTTAGCGTTCAGAAAGAAAATAAAACAGCCACAATGAAATAACAAACTGTTGCGCTGTTGTTTTATTATCGTCCGCCTTGCACGCAGAGAGATCGAGAACTGAAATTTTTGCTCGCTGTGACCGGCCTTTTTCTGGTTTCGCTCTCCTTAACAAAACCCCCAATAACAACAACAGCAACAATAAAAACAATAACAATATTGTCATCATCATCATCACCATCGAAAGCGGGCAGGCAGGCAGTCAGTCAGCAGCACCAGCCATGGTGTGCACCCAAACTCATGAGTTCGTTACTTGCTTGGTTAAGTGGTGGTTTATTGCTTGGAAGGGGCGGCCAAAACCGCACCAGCCGTGCTAGCAGACAACTCTACCGACGACTGACTGTATTAATAAGCGTCACAGCTGAAATCATCATGTGTGATATGTGTGTTTGTTCGCTCGGAGAGCACACTACACGCAGTTGACACAAGTAAAACTATCATACAGGGTACGCTATAGCTGTAAAGCCGTGATTTTTTAGGAACATTTTTTAAGGAACATACGACGTATATTAACATTTTTCAAAGTCCAACCTTTCAAGAAACGTAGATTATTAAAGGATCAATAGCCCAAGAAATTTGGGTTTCTTAGGAATATTTTTTCAAAGACCTTCAAAACATGAAATGTGGATTGTTTAAAGAATATTTTTTCAAGGACCTTCAAAGCATGATTTCTGTTTTTTTAAGGACATTTTTTTCAGAACCTGCAAAGCATGAAACGTAAATTTTCTTAAGAATATTTTTTTAAGGACCTTCAAACAATGAAATGTGGATTTCTAAAGAATACTATATCAAGGTCCCATAGACCAAGAAATGCGGATTTAAAAAAATTCAAGGTTCCATAGACCATCAAATGTGTTTTATTTTTAATTTACTTTCAAGGACATTTAAAGCGACCTACAGATTTTTAAAAATATTTTTTCAAGAACCTTCAAAACATCCTTCAGATTTTTTATAATATTTTTTCTTGAAACGTGGATTTTTAAAAGTATTTTTTCAAGGTCCCATAGACCATGAAACGTGGATTTTTAAAATTATTTTTTCAAGGTCCCATAGATCATGCAAAGTGGATCTTTAAAAAATTTTTCAAAATCATGAAACGTGGATTTTTAAAAAAAATTTTCAAGGCCATGAAACGTGGATGTTTAAGAAAATTGTCAAGGCCATGAAACGTGGATTTTTAAAAAAATTTTCAAGGCCATAAAACGTTAATTTTTTAAAAATATTTTTTTTTTCAAAGTTACATAGATCATGCAAACTGGATCTTTAAACATTTTTTCTAGACCATGAAACGTGGATTTTTAAAAATATTGTATTAAGTTCACGTAGGTAATGAAACGTGGATTTTTAAAAATATTGTTTTAAGTTCACGTAGGTAATGAAACGTGGATTTTTAAAAATATTGTTTTAAGTTCACGTAGGTAATGAAACGTGGATTTTTAAAAATATTGTTTTAAGTTCACGTAGGTAATGAAACGTGGATTTTTAAAAATATGTTTTTAAGGTCCCATAGACCATGAAACGTGGATTTTTTAAACAATACAACTTTTCCAAGGACCTTAAATGCATTAAAATATGGATTTTTTAAAGAATACAATTTTTTCAAGGACCTTCAAAACATTAAGACGTGGATTTTTTAAAGAATACAATTTTTTCAAGGACCTTCAAAACATTAAGACGTGGATATTTTAAAGAATACAATTTTTTCAAGGACTTTCAAAATATAAAACAAACGAATGCAATATTTTCAAGGACCTTCAAAACATTTTTTAAATAATATAATGAATAAACGTGGATTTATAATTTTTCAAAGGATCAAAGATCAACAGCCTCCATTTATTTTAAGTATCCTCTATTGTCGACCACAACCCCCCTTTTGGCATCTACAACGCCACTCTATTTACATTACAGAGAGAAACAATTTATATCCCTCTCTTTTTCTCTTTCTCTCTCTCTCTCTCTCTCTCGAAAAATTACAACTGCATTTTTACATTGTTTAGCTCTCCTAACCTTCGTGGCGAAATGCAACTTGCAAAGCATTTGCGGTAGCCAGCCACACTGTAACGAGGAAAGCAACGCCTCGATACCAGCGGCAACAGCAACGACAACAACCACCGCCACCAATCATGATTATCATTGCGAATATCATCAATATGTGTGATTAAGATCGTTCGTTTGTTGTCTGCCAACGTCATGATTGTCACCGTTCGTTCGTTCGTCGTTCAGTTTAAGTTTGAAATGCTAGGAGTTGGAATTGTTTTTGTTATTGTTGTTGCTGTTGTTTCTTCACTTGACTTGGCTGTTCATGCAGATCTGTCTTTATTTTTATTTTATTTACGTTCCTACGTAAATACCAATATAATAGGTGGACATTTTTGTTATAGAAAAATAGACATATGGACGTATGTATGATAAGAAGAGGGTGCAATAAGTGGGGAAGATTGCGAGAATCACACAAATTGTAAGAAGTTCGCTGGCGAATGAGCTTTTATAATTTTCCGGATTTTCGGAGAGGATTCTAATTTAGGCACTCTTTGCAACATTGGCAGCAAAGCAAATCATCCTTTTGGTATGATTTGGTACCATTTCAAACTTTCTGCCGCCAGAGGAAAATTACTTAGAGCGACATTATATTCTTACCTCACTGGATAAAGCAATGAAAATCTGTATTACCAACACTATAATGGTACGACTAAGTACATTTTGAGTCTTTTTTCGAAATTCAGTATGTATTTTGCTCTGACCCGATCATACTAATCCCCTTATTCTGGTTTGATGGCGCCATCACATATATGTATGTTGTCAATATTATGATTTGCTTGTTGTTTTAAAGCAAATGCCAAAACGTAGTTTTTATTATGTCAATTTCAACTGTTCTACGAGTATAGCTAGGAATGTGGGGATTTTTCTGTGTTCCACATAAACTCAGGCCTATTGGGATGTTAGTATGGAATTTTCATCATAATCGGAAAATTTGAAAAACTTGATAATAGATTTGGAAATATTCTAATTATACAGTTAAATAAAAATGGGAAAATTCTTTGAGGGTAAATTCATGGAATTTCATAGACAAAAATTACTAATTTACTTTTCTAGTGGACTATCAGAGCCACTTAACTCGGATTTTTATTATTCCAACTTTTGACCCTTTTTAAGAGCATTTGGCCAATATTGACCAATTCGTATCTGACCTAGGACGGATATAAATATTACAATGTGCCATATTTGGACTATATCGACTTCTTCCTTTAATTTATATGAGATATGTGCAAATTTTTGGAAAATGTGGAAATATACGCGAGGTAACAGATATAGCGGACCGAAGTATTCCATTTTCATATGTTATCTAATACAGATAAAAATATTGGTATGATGCAAAAGTAGAAGAAAATCGAATATTTATGTCCAATTTTAGGCGAAATCATAAATTCCATATTCATCTCAGGTTTCTGGTTGAGAGAAATATTTATATATAGCAAGATGTAAATAAACACCAATTTATGAGTTAAATATTGGAAATTGTGACCCTTTGTGTGTGGAGTACCAGAAGGGGTTCGCAACAGATCTTGCGCTATCAAAAATATTTGGATGTGTGAAATTTGAAGAGAGTTTGATGCGTATTTCGCTTTCTTTGAGCGTTTTGTTTTTTAAATTCTTAAACCCTAGGTGGGGGAGGTACCAAAAGAAACGGTCCGATCGCTACCATCTTTAAAACAAATCTTGTGCTGATGGAAACATTGAAATGTACCAAGTGTGAATGGAATCGGATGTTAATTTTCCGTTATATGAGCTTCATGGGTCTCAAAATTTTGACCCTTTGTGGGGGAGGTACCAGAAGGAATAGTTCGATCTCTACCATCTTTCTAACAGATCTTGTGTTTAGGGAAATATTGATATGTGCCAAGTCTGAATTGAATCGGATGTTAATTTCGTTTTTTATGAGCTTCATAAATATACAAAATTTGAATCCTTTGTGAGGGAGGTACCAGAAGGAGTGGGCCGATATATTCCATATTCACACCAGACCTTGGGTTAATACAAATATTGTGATGTGTGTAATTTGAAGACAATCGGAAACATACATCACATTTTATAAGAGTTATAATTATTCGAAATCTTGACCCTTTGTGGGGGAGGTACTGGATGGAGTGGACCGATATTCGCACATGACCTAGCACTGATGCAAATGTTAGGATTTGCAAAGTTGGGGCAAAATCGGAGTAACCTTCCTCTTTCTGCGCAGTAAATAATTTTCTTTGAAACTATTGACATTTTGTGGAGGAGGTACCAGAAGGAGTGGACCGATGGTGCCCATCTCCGAACTCGATCTAAGTTTGACAATAATAATAAAATAATAATAATAATAATAATAATACGATGTACCTACTTTGGATAAAATCGAATATTCCCTTCGAGAGTTATCTTGCGCACCAGCCATACAGACGGAGGGACGGACGGACATCGCTAGATCGACTTCAAATGTCCAGAAACGGAATTGGTCCAAAGGGGCCTAGGGTCTAGAACCTTTATTTCGATGAGGCACCTTTTCGCCGTATCAATTGATATATACCCTCTCTAGCCATATGGCTGAGGGTATTAAAAAGTACTTCAAACCGAATTCTGGAGAATCTGCTATGATTATTTATTTAACGCAATAGAAGTGAATCGCTCTCCTACTACCGCCTTATTCATAAATTGGAATTTGATTTCAATATGTCTGTCCCACCGCATCACAATTCGATTTCCTAGTCCCAGTATAACAGCAGCAACAACACCAACCTTTTTGTTGTAATAAATTTCTTATCAATTAATATGTCAATTATTTAATACATTAGTGTTATCAAAAAAATGTATTTTTTAATTGCAAATTTTCTAATAGAAAAATATTTTCTCAGTCGATCAGTCTGTGTGACGAGTGTGGGATTTGAAAATTGACGCAACTAATCAATCAAAATTCAAATTCACATAAAATAATAAAACCATGAATAAAACAAATATTGTTTTATGAACTTTTGCGTGCAAATAATAAACGCT